TATATTATTTTGCTAATAAATTTTTTTCTTTTCTAATTCCAGGTATGCTTAGAGATAGTGCTGATTAATAGGTGTCGAATAAGGAGAATCAGGTACGAATTTTATTTTTTAGTAATTCTGTTCGTAAAATTATATTTTCACAGGTAAAAAAAAACAATTTTTTTAAAAATTTTTTAAAAAAATTAATTAAAACCGAAATTAAAATTAAATTAAATTATCAACGAAACAATTACAGAAATCAACGAAACTAATGTGAATCAGTGACGAAATTAATTTTGAATTAGTAACGAAATTAATGTGAATAATCAGTAACGAAAAATACTTTACAAACAAAATAAATTATTATTATTATTATTTTATTATTTTTATTATTCGTAATATTTTTTAGCGCACTAAATTTTTCCCCTCAGTTGAAAAATTGAAACATTGTCAAAAGAGTCATACGAGGTATTTATAAATATAAGAGAAAAATAACTCCTTTTTTTATTTTCCCCTGTTTTTTAACATCTCAAACTATATGCTAATTGGCTGACTAAAGAAGTCGATCTATTAATGCATGGACCCAAACAAAACGTCTTCGTTTGGTCCCGTTCCGAGAAATAATAATAATAACATATTTTTCACAAAAATTGTTTTTCTATTCGAAATTCACTTATGCGAATAACAATAATATTTGAACTCCCAATGATTCTTTATTCTTATTTTTCTTTCTTCTTACGGTAAAAAATTTGTTTAAGATGTTTTTTTCTCCTTTTTCGTTGAATTCTCTTTTTTTATATTCAATGTCAAGGTATTTTGCCTGACCCTGAATATAATTCAGTTGAATTTCAGATTATCATTCAAAAACGGTATTAAATACTTAATTATATCTTTTTGAGACTTTCTATATACGGGAGGTAAGGTATAATTAAATTTTGCTAGTATTTTCAAAAAAGAGTCGAAAAATATAATTAATTTAGAAAATAGAAAAAAAAGATGAAGAAAACATCAGTTGGTTTACAAAAAATCAGCACAATACGTAATTACTAAAATTTGTATAGCAATTTTGTTTTTTTGCACTTTTCCACTTCATTATATTCTTAAATTGAAAAATAATTTCAATGGTAAATAAAGTTAAATTGGTGTGAAGTATATTAGAAAAATTATTCATTGTTCGATAATACGATGATGTCAGTGTGGAGACAAATTTATGGCAAATATATATTTGTGATTTCATTTTCTTTTGTTATTCAGACATTTTACTTGAGAAAACAAATTTAAACATTTTTTTATTATTTATTTGTTTACTTATTTTGATACTTTTGTAAAACAAAAGATTTTTGCTCTTCTTTTCGTTTTACAAAAATTTTTTTTATTACCAAAATATGTATTAATTATGTTAATTAATTAATATTCGTTTTTAAATAATTGTAAATAATAAAAATAAAAGTAAAAGAGTGTTTTTCTTTTACCTTTTATGTACGTTTTCCAAAAATCAAAAAAATTAATAATTGGAAGAATTTACTGAATATTTAATAAAAAAAAATTTTTTTAAATATTATTTTAAATAAATATATTTTATTTAACATAAAAAATAGTTAAATGGAAATGTAATTTACATATTTATTGAAACGAAAAATTGTTTGTTTCATATAAATATTTACTCGCTAATGGTCAAGTAATCGAGATTAGTTGATTCGAGAAAAAAATTTTTGTTTTCAGTACATTTATATGCGTTTTATTTGCATTCGTTGAGTACATATAAAACGTTGAAAAAACGTTTAAGCAGAAATTGTTAGCTTCTTTATAATATTATATTGATGTATATGGATAAATAAGACTATAAAAATAATTTTGAATAAAAATTTTCCATTTTCCATTTGATTCAAAGCTATAAACAAACTAGTTTGTCTTATTGGATATCGGACTTGGCACATAAATATATATAGTATAAATCTGATAGCTCAACAACGACTTTAATTGATTTAGAAGTTTCTGAACTTTTTTTTTCTACTCGGCAAATTTAATCCGTAACCTTAGGAAGGCCCACACGTGATTTTATTTATTATCGCAAGGTTTTTTCATTATTTATTGTGTCACATTTTATTTGGATATCGGAATATTGTTACTATTATAAATTATTGCTAATAAAAATATACGAAAATTAGCTATTACTTCGAGTCTGGTATTATTATTATTATTTTTTTGTATTTTTATTTATTAATAACGACCGAGTGGTAAAAGATTCAGATTATTATTACTATTATAACATTATTATTGTATTTTTTTTTATTCATTATTTATTTATTATTTATTTATTATTTTATGTATTTATATTATATTTTATTTATTTTCATTATTAGATTTATCCGATTTTTTTAATTTTGTCGATTTTGTACATTGGCTTAGTGGCTTAGTTACTTGGCTCACAATAACAAGGGACAGGGTTCGATTCCTCGCGACTTAGAAATTTATTTACTTATTTATTCGTACACTTTTATTGCAGATAAATTTCTATTTTTAATATTCTTCTTCCGCCTAATTGAAAAATGAAAAAAAAAATTTTTTTTTTTAGTAGGTACGATACGATAGAATTAAAAAAATTTTTTGTTTTTGAAAAAAATATGAATTCATAAATAAATAATTACGAAAATAAAAAATATTTAAATTATTAGTAACATTGATGCTTTTAATGCAGAAATCCATCATGTGGCGCATTCTGTTTGAGTGTCGTATTAAATAAATATTGAAATATTTATCGATAAGTTAGATATCTTCTTTGAGTTTCTTGGAGAAATACCTAAAGAGAGTAAACATATCTTTATTAAAAAAACTTTTTTTATTTTTTTTTAATAAAAAAAATGTATTTTTATTAAAAAATATTTTTATATTTCTCTCTATAAATTTTGATTATAATATAAAAATATAAATATTTTTCCTTTCTTTTCGAAATACAGATTAGAAATAAATAATTTTAACAATAAGCGAAGAGGAAAGGAAAAAAAACAATAAATGAAAAACAAATAAGAAAAATCTTGTTTTCTGTTTAAAAAATAATACAAGTCAAATTAAAGTTAAATTATTTGTGATAAATTTTTGAAAAGTAAGGGGTAGAAAATTAAAAAGTTGTCAATAGACAGAAAAAGAATAAATAAAAGAAAAATGAGAAATTGTATGTGAAAGAAAAGAATATGAATTTTAAAAAAATATATTAATATGGAAAATTTAAAACTAGAGAAGAGAGAATACTAATGTCAAGTTCAATATAAATCTCTCTCGAACCCCTACCTCTATAATAACTATATAAAGATATATACCTTTTTTAATAATAATCTTTTAGTTGATCCATTATTCTGAAGGGATACGTATCTTTTGCTATAAAATATTTATAACTAAACTTTTCTTCCAACAATGTCATGTAAAAGTTTTTTTACTTCCACAAAAACAATTTGGGAATTTCCCACATCAAACGAAGTTAGTATTGACAAAATTAATTTTTAAGAAACGATAAAAAAAAGATTCTCAATGTTTACGAAATTATTTTTTTATTTATTTATTACTACTATTACTATATTTTTTTCATTAGATTCTTTTTTCTTTTTTAAAATTGTAACAACTAATTTCTTAATTTAATTAACTAATTTCTTCTTAATCGACCTGTATTTTTATTTACTTATTTATATATTTTCTATTTTAAAAATAAAGTAAAATGTTAATTTGTTAATATAATAGAAAAAAAATTAATTGTAGTCATTTTTACTATAATTTTATAGTAAAATCCGAAATGTCTGAAATTTCTTACTTCTACAACAAATTTTGCTATTTTCGAACTAAATTTTATTTACTTATTAAAATATGTATTTTTGTTGTTGACCAGAATAGTTTGTAGTAAAAATTTTATTTATTTTATTTCATAAAAATATATTTTTTTTATTTTTTATATAAAATTAAAAATTATTTAAATTATTTAAATTTTATTTCATAAAAATATAATTTTTTTTACTTTTTATATAAAATTATATAAATAAAATAATAAATAAAGAATAAACATTGAAAGAGGTATTTAGATAAGAAGAGAAAGAAAATAAAAAAAAATTATAAAATAAAAATTTATTTTTTCTATTTTTATTTAGAATAACAAAAATAATTAATAAGTTAATATTAATATTATTGATTCAAAAAAAAAAAGTATTTTTAAACTGAATTACAAAAACAGTGAATTTTTCCCTGCTTCTTTATAAAAGAATGTCGAAAGAATAGTTTTGTATTTCGTCATTCGTTAAATAATAATAAATATATAGTTAAAAGAAAATGCAAACTGTTAAAACATCAATTCCACGTGCCATAGGCGCACGTGGTTTGAAACCTAAATAATTCGAATTGGTTGACAATAAGGTTTCAGTCACTTGCACTTTCTGCTAAAGTTGATTATAAACCAATGCCTTTTAAGGTCAAAAGGCCCGCGTGCGACCGTCATTCAGTTACTGAAGGTGGACACAGCAAATAATTGATTTTGCATAGAAAATAAAAAAAAAACAAAAAATATAAAAGTGACGGAAAAAGCAAAAATTCACAATTTTAATATAGAGAAATAAATGTTTATAAATTAACGTAACTTTACAATATATTTACAATAATGAAACGAGCCAGATCAGAAGATGATTTTCAACCATCAAAATGGAATGTTATTCGTAATTTGTTGAGTAAAAATGGATTAAATCTGAATAAGTCTCAAAGTCAAGATTTTCAAGTGAGTTTTGATTTGGAAATTTGTTTTTTTTGTCCACGTTATTTTGAAATTCATTTTTTTGTCGTGAATTTATTTTTACTTATTAAAAACAAATTTATTTAGTTCAAGCAATACATTAGCTGAGTGATAAATAATTTTTTATTTTTTCCAATTTGTTATTTATTATTTGTTTGAGAAGTAGGTAAATATTTTTTAAATAATTGAACCGAGTAGTTGATTTTTTAAATTTTATTTATTTAGTTTGTTTATTTATTTTTTTTTCCATTCTAAGAATCACGTTGCGGAGGGTAGAAAAAAATTAAAAACCAACGAATCGAATGAATCGGTGAATCTCTATCCGAATTGTGATGGTTCCATTTGGACAAGATCGTGTGAAAGGGAAATAATTGAACCAATTTTTGGTAAAGTCAGTGGCAATATTCCAAAATGGCTAAATGGTTCCCTATTGAGAAATGGTCCAGGCTCATTAAAAGTTGGTGAATACAGATTTGATCATCTCTTTGATAGTGCTGCTCTTTTACATCGGTAATTATTTTCCTTATTTTTTTTTTTTATCTATTTTGTAATTTAGAAAAAAGGTTAACAAATTTTTGGTAGATTTTACAAATAGATATTTTACAAATATTTTTCTATATGCTTATTTATAATTAGTTTTGCAATTTCCGATGGAAAAGTAACATATCAAAGCCGATTCGTTCAAACGGAAGTGTTTAAGAAAAATCAAACGGCAAAAAGAATTGTTGTCTCAGCTTTTGGAACTAAAGCAGTGCCAGATCCTTGTAAAAGTATTTTTCAAAGGTTGGTATCTTTGGTATTAATGGGAAGAGAAAATAAATTGTAATTTCTGTTTAAGTTTTATAAAATTAAATATAATTAATAAAATAAATAAACAATAGGACGAACTTTCATTGAAAAAGAAAATTATAATTTGCAGAATATCCACAACATTTCAACCTGAAATGACCACTTCTGATGATAATTCAATGATTTCGATTTATCCATTTTGTGACGAATTTTATACGTTCACTGAAAGTCCCATTATTCATCGAGTCGATCCAAAAACACTCGAGACGTTAGGAAAGGTATTTTCATTTTTTAAGGGATTTGAATATTTTGTTTTTATATTTACTTAATTTAATAAGTAGTTAAAAAAATGTTTTCATTGTATTAAAAAATTATTAATAAAATAATTACTTTTGAAAAAAAGGTAAACGTATCGAAACATGTATCGATAGTAAATCACACGTCTCACCCCCATGTAATGAAAGACGGTACAGTTTACAATGTTGGATTAAATATTACATCACGTGGACCAGTTTATACTATTGTTTCCTTTTCGCCGAGTAAAATTATCAAAGGTAAAAAATTATTAAAGTAAATTTTTTTTTTTATTTTTTTTTTTTAATAACAAATTATTATTATTCTTTAATAATAAAATTAGTTTAAATGAGTGAAAATGAAAATTATTTTAATTGAATAAAAGAATTATTTTTGAAAAAGAAAGAAAGGGAGAGAAAAAAATGGAAATATAGTAGGTAAAAATTGTCTGTTGGCTAAAAAATTGAGTTGAAGATTGTAACAAAAATGTTTAGATGAATTTGGAAACGAAAGAAAGACATCAATGTTCGATGAGGCTAAAATAGAAGCAACTGTTGCATCAAGATGGCTTTTAAATCCCGCCTATATGCATACATTTGGTATCACGGACAACTATTTCATTATTGTTGAGCAACCATTATCCGTGGCATTAATGTCGGTAATGAAAAATCGTTTGAAAAACGAACCAATGCGCAGTTCGTTAAAATGGCACAAAGACGAAACTGTAATTATTATTCAAATTCAAATTATTAAGTAAAAAGTATTTCAATTTTTACATTTTTAGTAATGTTACTAATTTTAATAATTTTTATTTCATAATAATTTTAGTAATTAGTGAAACTTTGATTTTTCTAAAATTAACGAATTAAGTAACTTTTGAATGATTTAATTAAACAATTTAATTTTTTTTAATTAATTAATAATGGACTAATTGATTCATTAATTAATTACTAAAAATTGAAAGTATATATTGACAAAAAAAATAGTACGTAATAATTGTTAACGAAAAATAATATTTTTAATTTACAGACACAAATTCATGTGATCTCGAGGAAAACTGGAAAAATTGCAAAATCATTTTTAACCGAAACATTTTTCTACTTGCACATTATTAATCAATTCGAAACATTGGACAATGATTATGTTGTTTTAGACATTTGTGCCTATCGAGATGCTGCAATGCTCGATTGCATGTATATAAATGCAATAAATGTACGTAAAAATGAAAAAAAAAATTTATAAGTAATTATTCATAATTAATTTATTATACAACTCAAATGATTAATTTTTGTCAATTATTCTCAATTAATTATTAATTTAATACACAATTATTACTAATAATTATTTTCTATAAATTTGAATTAGAAAAAATGTTTACTAACTTGAAATTAGTAATTAGTAAATTTGACTGAAAATGGTCATTTTTATTATTCATTTATAAAATATTTAATAATATTTAATTTACTAATTCAAAAGCAAAAAAGTCAGTCAATTTATAAATTTTACTAAACAAAAAAGTAAATTTGACTGAAAATGGTCATTTTTATTATTCATTTATAAAATATTTAATAATATTTAATTTACTAATTCAAAAGCAAAAAAGTCAGTCAATTTATAAATTTTACTAAACAAAAAAGTAAATTTTACTGAAAAATAGTAATTTCTACTAAATTATTAGTAAAATTTACTAATTCAAATGCAAAAAGTCAGTGACGAATTCAAGTTAGTAAACATTTTTTTCCAATTCAAATTTAGAGAGTTAGGTAAATAAAAAATTATAATATAATCTAATTATTAACAATTAAATAATTATTATTAGTATTTTTAATTCACTGTTAACATTAATAATCATTTCTAATTAATTTAATTAAACTAAATAATACTTTTACACATTAGTTACAATTGATTATTAATCTAATTATTATTCAATTTAGTAGTTATTAATTATTAATTATTATTTAGTTATTCGATTTAATATTTTTATTCATAAATCAAATTAAATATATAATTAGAAAAGGGAAACTAGAAAAAAAAATTTCCTTTTCTAGAACATGCAAACAAATCCTGATTATGCAAATTTATTTCGAGGGAGACCATTGCGATTTATATTGCCAATGAAAAATACCGGAAATAATGATTCATCGTCTGATGAAAATTTAATAAAAACAGAGACAGTTAATCAAAGTTTTATGAAAAATTTATCGAGCAGTGAAATTTTGCTGAGGTGGAGGAGAAAAAATAAAAAAAGTCTTCTCAATGAAAAAGCAAGTGCCCATAAATTAATTAATGGAAAAATTTTCGTTAAACCAGAACTTTTGTGTGATCTTGGATTGGAAACGCCGAGAATAAATTATGATTATTTTCTTGGTAAAGAATATCGTTATTTTTATGGTATATCGAGTGACGTTGATCTCGATAATCCTGGAACGGTAAGAATTTTTTCTTCTTCTTCTTCTTCATACAAAAGAAAAAAAATCTTAATAAATTGGAAAATATTGATTTTAAATTAAAAAATTCAGAATAAAAATATTTAGGTAATAAAATTATTTCTGTTAAATAAAAATAGATAATCAAAGTTGATATTGTGAATAAGACACGAAAAACGTGGTGTGAGAAGAATGTCTATCCAAGTGAACCAATTTTCGTTCCGTCCCCAGATGGAAAGGTAAAAGTGAAAAAATGTTTAGTTAATTTTTAATTAAAAAAAAAAAAAAAAAATTTGGAATTTGGAAATTGGAATTTTTTTCTAGAATGAAGACGATGGCATTGTTTTGAGTGTCCTAATATGGGGTCAGGAGCGTGAAACAGAAGTTGGATTATTAATTTTAAATGCCGCTACTTTTGAGGAAATTGGACGTGCGACGTTTGTAACTTCTGGTCCAGTGCCAAAATGTCTGCATGGCTGGTTTAGTTCTAACGTATGAACCATTCGAAATTTCGAATTTTGTTTAAATATTTCCTTAAAATTTATATTTTAAGCTCAAAACTTCTATTTTTAATATTCAATGTAAATTTCTTTTCATTATATTGTGGATGGTAAAATTTTTTACTTCTGTAAATAATTTGTTTTCAAGTGGAAAAAATTTAGTACAATAGAATAAATTATTTTGCAATTGCAAAATAATTTACTTTATTGTACTAAATTTTTTAAATTATAACGAAATAATAAGTGATAATAATAAAATTGTTTGAATAACTTATTTTCAAGTGGAACAAATTTATTGTAATAAAATAATTTATAATTAAATAATAAATAATCAATAAAATACAATTCTTCCTCTATGAGAAAGCGTTAATTATAAAATGATAAAAAAATTAAAAAATAATAAAGTATTAAAAAAAAAAATATTAAATATTAATAAAAAAAGTGTGGCTTGGTTTGGTGGTTAAGGTACCTGTTTACTAATCTTTAGGGTCTCGGGTTCGATTCTCGGGGCTTTTGCAAATTTTTTTCAATTAACGGAAATTGTAAAAAACGTAAAAGACCAAAAAGAGTTTACGAAAGAAAATAACAGAATAATAAATAAAAGAAAATAAAAAACAATGATGAAAAAAATTCCTGGCTTTTAATAATCAGAACAAATAATAAATGAATTAATTAATAATTCATTATTAGAATAATTATTATAAGTATTTAACATTATTAATTATAATATTCAGAAAAAAATAAATTAATATTTATAATTACTATAAATTAATCACTAATTTAATTATTTAAACAAATTTATTTTTTTAAACTATCTTTTCAATTATACAATATTTATTTTCATAATTTGAAAATCCATTTTTTTTTTTGCGTTAATCAAAATAAACTCGGTGCGATTTTAGTAAGCACTTACTTTTTTTTAATAATAATTTTCTCTCGACGATATAATTATTGTTTACAGTGATTTAATAATTATTTAATTTAATAATAATTCCCTAAATTAATTAAAAATAGAACATCTAGATACAATAAATTATACATATACTGTCTTTTTTTCCTGTGATAAATCAATTATTTACACAATTACGCAGGGAAATTAATTATTAACAATTTTTTTAAAAAGTTCCTTTTAACTCATTCTAGTGGATATTTACAAAATAAAATGAAGATTTTGTCGCGCACTATTCGAATATGGAATGTTCGAAAAATATGAAAACACAAACACACATACATACGCAATAAGGATGAGGGAAAAATTTTTAATGTAGAAAACTAGACAATTTTCTTTTTAAAATTCTAAAATATGAGAAGAAATTTTTCATTTTCTTCTATTTTTTGATTTTGTGAAAAAAATTTTTTTTTTAATTTCGATTTACAATCTTGATCTCAATAATCCCTCTTTTTGATTCTTGATTAATAAATAAATTTTTAAATATTTGCAATTTAGATCAAAATGAATAAATAAAAGACAAAGTCGAATTGATTTTACGAAATAAAATAATAAAACCGAGCAATTAATATTATTTTTGCGATTCATATACATCTGTTAGGAATGATAGAATATTTTCTTATAAATTTTATCAAAATATCTCCGCCAATTAAAATTTATAAAATTCTTTTTTTTTTGTATTTTATTTTCTCTCCCTCGCTTAGTGTCGAATCGACAAATTTTTCCCCCTCCCTAAAGTTTTCTTAGCGACGACTTTCGCAATGCGCGCGCCGAATTTTTTCTATCGTGTCGCTATTTAAAATTAATTACAATTTTTTTTTAAATCTTTCTTCTTTCGCTCATTTTTCAATCAAAATTGAAAAAGAATTTAAAACATTGTTATGGAATAATCTAAGATTTTTAAAACTCGTATTTGACAATGATCTTAAAAATATAAATCACTCATGACAGTAAAATCATATATACAATACATATTGTTTTACAAATTAACATGACAAATACTACACTCAATTATTTAAATAAAAAAAAATTCACATTCATTTGAAAATGTAGATCACAAATTTAATATTTTAAAAAACTGAGATAAAAATTACGATGAAATTTACTGATTTTAGTTTAAGAGAAATATATTTTCGGTTTAAAAATAAATAGAAGAAGAAACTCATCGTAATTTTTTTTCTAGTAACTTACGGAATTTTTTGTATTTTTTTAATATGAGATTTAGGGATTTTCAAAGTCGGTTCAAGCAAAAATTAATTGAAAAATACGTCTGGAATTTCTATTTTTTTCAATTTTGACTATTTTCGAAGTAAACTTTATTTTACTTTAGAAATAGTAAAATGCTTCGTACTCTTACTCTTGTAAAATTTACTCAAAAAAAATTTTCTTCCTAAATAGTGAAAATTAGTTCGAAAATAGTAAAATTTACTTCGGATAGTACAAATTTTGTATAGGATTTAGTAAAATTCACATTGAAAATAGTAAACATTACTCCGGGTATAGTAAAATCTTCGTGTACGATTTAGTAAAATTTACTCTTCACTTTCTCGCCAAAAATTCCAGACAATTCAAAATTTACCATGCAAGTATAGTAAAAGTTACTTTACTCTCTCTTTCCTGTGCATTATTGAAAATTAATTCCAAACTGAATAAATTAAAAAAAAATCCAAAACTTGTTTCAATTGGGGAAAAATTCATTCCTATAGGTGTATATCATTCGTTTGTTCATAAATATTTAAGTACATCGCAAGTACATTTTTACAAATTAGAATTTGATTCTTTGATTCCTTTGAATTTTAAAATTCTTTCCCTAAAATCTCACCATTTTTTTTTACATTTGTACATTATATTTTCGTGCGTCACAATATGAAAAATGAATAATAAACACTCTTTTATAGGTTGCGTTACGCAAAAAAAATATGATAACGCAACTATCACAATTGACATCTGGTCGATTTTTTACTTTACAAAAAAAAAATCTCTTTTAGGCCTTTTCGATTTTATTAATATTTTCAAAACCTATTGGATTTAATGCCACCGAATTAATGTGATTAGTACTATTTCGATTGACGTTCGGATCAATTTTAAAGAGACTTGAATTTGAAACTGTGAGATTTGACTCGTTGTGTATTGGTAGTATTCCTGAGTTGGCGTCTTCAATTGCTTTCCTTAACTGGAATTTAAAGAAAAAAATAGTTCAATAAAAATATTATTGGTACTGTTTGTGTTTAAGGTTCAAATAACTTGGAAGTTTACAGAAAACTGTTTTGCTCCAAATTGCAAAATGGTTTGCGTTTGTACTGACATTTTGCTACTTGTAACAAGCTAACAGTGTAAGTTTTCTGCAAACTTCCAGAGAATTTGAGAAATTAGAATTTTTTTTACTTCTTTGAGAGCGACCACACCGACAAGTCTGCCGATTGCAGTCACATAGGCATGATTGACCCCAACCATGCTGAAAAGACTGTGAACTTTCAGTAAGGATGTCCGTTCGACTAGCTGGAATGGAGCTGGGTCAATATGACAGACTGAGAAATCAACTTCAAGTGCCATTTCACTCTCCTCCCATATTTTCTGGTCCTCTGCTGACATGTCAATCACCCTTTCACGAGGCTGAGGATGAAATTATTTACATTTTTTAATCTAAGATTAATCGAAATAATTAAAAGAATTTTTAATTTGCTTACGAGTTGAACTTTCTTCAAAGTAGCAGGACTGGGGACAAGCATCGGATGATGTGGTTGAGCATTAATTCCATCCTCACTGTCCCGCCTGCCTCTTGATCCCATTTCTGGATCTGGATCAACATCCTGTAATGTTGCAGATTTCCTAAAAATTGCTTCGAAAGCTAATCTTATTCTGTGGAGGGGAAAAGGAAATTATTATGACGAGAAACAAACGGAATTCTATTTTTTTTCGATAAAAACGAACCTGCTTTCTGCTCCCGTGACTGTTGTGTACGGAGTAACGGCCGGACTGGCCAAGGGACTGAAACCCTTCAGAGTGAAGGAATTCGTCTTCTTTAATATCGACTTTTTCGGTTGGGTTCCAAATACAGGAGCGTGGAAAATGTGCTGAAATTTTTTTCGAATTGTGATTAAGATTCCTCTGAAAATGTAGTACTGAGAGAAAAGCTGTTAACTCTCTTTAACAAGGAGAAAATGATATTACCATTATATTGGTACTACAATATTACTCGTAAAATTTGAAAATGTAAAACACTCACATTATCAGACGCACTTCCATTGTTTCCCGACGTGGACAAATCGGTGGCACTTTGCCTCTGCATTTTGAGAATGTCAGGCGCTGGTATCACCTCAAATCGCGATGGTCTCCTCGATCTTTCTTGTTCCCTTAATTGTCTCTCCATTTCTTCTCTCACTCTCTCTTCAGCCTCTTTCTGCATTTTTTGAGCAACCTACATTTTTTTCGCAACATAATTTTTAGTACACTACATTGAATTTTCTTGTTAATTAATTATTGTCAATGACTGCAGAATTAAACTCGAAATATCTAACCTGTAATCTTCTTTCCCTGCCAATATGCTTTTCAATCAACTTGATGAGTTCGAGTCTCTGTATTGATCCAAGAAGAATCATCGATTCGGGATTATCCACCAATGGAAAGCCACGAAGTTTTCGATTTTCTTTCAAAATTTCCTTCAATCTCTGATACGATATTCCATGCCAAATGTATCTTGCATCACGTACCATAAAATCTTCTACGTAAACATTATACATACCTGGAAAAAAAATTTACTAATGCAGATTCTTTCTCAAATTACAACTAATCAATAAAACTACCCGTTACTAGAAGGTAAAGTTTCTTACCCTAAATTCCAGAAAGATGGCTTTTAAAAACAGTTGCTTAGCATTAGGTATAATTTACAAAAGGTAGATTCATTAAAATTTAGATATTAATAATTTACTATTTATTTACTAGGAAGACATGCAAAAAATGTAAGAGGGAAAAATAATGAAAAGCAGTAAGAGACTAATAATTAGGAAATAATGATGATTAAAGTTTAATAGCCTACCGGAACTTGATGGCAAGAGATCCGGAAGGTACGGTAGCTTTTTAATCAAAATTATACTGTCGTATATGCTCGGCTGTAATAGAGCGGCAATTGCGTTACTAATTAAAACAGCTATCATAACAGGAACAATATGAGTGATTTGACCAGTCATTTCAAATATGATGACGCTCACTGAAATTGTATGCGTTACAGCTCCTGAAAATGCAGCCGCACCAACCGTTGCATATCCACCTGAAATTTCCCTTTTCTTTAATCTTTCGTCAACAATTTTTTATTTTTGTTAAACTTTTCATTTATTTATTTATTTATTTATTTATTCAAGACATAAACGGGTAACAATTAAGACCCTTCAAACAATTCATCTTCAAAACTTTTAAAGAGTTTCATTTTCCCTTTGCCAACAAACAGTATTACAAATCCTTCTTTACCTGGAATGATTGGAGTAATAATTCCTCCATAACGAACACCAGTTGGAAACCAAAGAGCCATTCCCTCTCCCACACATCGTCCAAGTGCTGCTCCTATTTTGAAAACAGGAATAAATATTCCCGATGGTACCGGTACGGTAGAACTTATAATGGAAAAAATGAACTGAAAATAAATTCGTTAGAGAATATCGTTTTATTATTCATTTTAATTGTTGTAATAGAAACCAGAATATAGAAAGTTGATTCATACCGTGAATAATGTGAAACTTAAAAGTCCGATAAATACATCTGTATGTTGTGTAACCCAATGTTTAACGATGTTCACTTCCTCAACATTGAGATTCTCCTTTGTCCATGTGAAATTAGTGAAGAGTCCATGAACTTGATCGTGAGTATTTAAATCACCAGCCATAAATTGGCCCAATCCTAAAGGAAACGATGCTGACGATACCATTAAAGACACTATCCCAGGGTACAGGAAACGACTGAAAAAAAATTTACATTCTGTCAAGTTGTTTTTTTCATGATATTAGAAAAGTTGTAAGGGATCTGTTATTAGAAGTGGAGGAGGAATGTTTGGATAATTTTGTTGTAAAAGGTTTTCTCTTGGCGTAGAGAACATTCAGCATTAGGATTTGTAATTTAGGATTACAAATCCTAATGCTGAATGTTCTCTACGCCAAGAGCAAACCTTTCAAACTTGCAAATACAAATGCTGATACTATTAGTATTTGCATTAAAATTTGTATTAGTTTTAGCATCATTTGTATTAGCATCAGAAGAATTATCATTAGCATTTATTTTAGCATCATTAACATCATTATCATTAGCATTTGTTTTAGCATCAGAAACATTATAATTAACGTTTGTTTTAGCATCAACATCAGCATCATTGTCATTAGCATTTGTTTTATCATCTTCATCAACATTAGCCTCAGAAACATTAAAATTAAAGTTTGTTTTAGCACCAACATCAGAAGTATTCTCATTAGCTTTTGTTTTAGCATCACAAGCATTATAATTAACGTTTGTTTTAGCATCAACATCAGCATCATTGTCATTAGCATTTGTTTTATCATCTTCACCAGCATTAGCATCAGAAGCATTATTATTAGCATTTGTATTATCATCTACAGCAGCATTATAATTAACGTTTGTTTTAGCATCAGCATCAACATCTTCATGAGCATCAGCATCATTGTCATTAGCATTTGTTTTATCATCTTCACCAGCATTATCATTAGCATTTGTTTTAGCATCAGAAACATTATAATTAACGTTTGTTTTAGCATCAACATCAGAAGCATTATCATTAACGTTTGTTTTAACATCAACATCAGAAGCATTGTCATTAGCATTTGTTTTAACATCTTTACCAGTATTAGCATCAGAAGCATTATCATTAGCATTTGTTTTAGCATCAGAAGCATCATCATTAGCACTTGTATTACCATCAGCATCAGCATTATCACAAGCATTTGTTTTAGCAGCAGCATCAGTATTAGTATCAGCATTATTATTAGCATCTGTATTAGCAATAAAGGAAGGATTTCCGCTCAAATAATATTGGATAAGGTTCGAAATACAACAGATAGTAGAGGACTTTTGAAAAAACTTACTTCTTCTGTAAGAAGCTGTTCATGCTCTTGTTCTTCCTCATAAAGATGACGTACTGCCTGTGCAACCAGACGTAAAACGCCCCACCAAGTCCACTACCAACTCCAATTAAAGCAAAAACAAAAAGCTCCTGCGGATCAAATGGAAAGTCATTGGTGAAATTAGTGAGGAACATTGCCGTTATCGTCTCCTCTCTCTGAAACCATATTGCCAGTAGACGAAACATCGTTGCACCACAGACAGCAGTGAAGAATCCTCGCCAATAATTTCTCACAGCAAAATAGACAGTTGTTACTTCAATACTGAATAGAACACCGCCAATTGGTGCAGCGAAACACGACGCAACACCAACTGCACACGCCGCTGCCAACATTTCACAATTTCTACTCTCATTCTCGTAAATCCCCTGAAAACTTGTCACCAATTTTGAGAGTAGCGTTGCCACAATACTGGCAATGTGAACAAATGGACCCTCCTTGCCGAGCGGTAGACCCGAACCCAATGTTGCCGTGAGTCCAATTACCTTCGCAACCAGAGTACGAAATGTGAGATATTCCTTCAAGGCGACGCCACGTAAAATTGTCTTCATCTCGGGAATTCCCGATCCTATACTCTGTGGTGCAACTATGTGAACGAATCCCGCGCTGAATAGAGTCAAGCATACCGGAAGTGTCACCCAGGCGATGTATTGCAGAGCGGGATGAGTCGTGAGTTCTCCAAAGAGCCATATCCTAGCTGGCGGAGAGAAATATTTTTCATTATTCGGGGTTGTTACAGGTCAGGGAAATCAGGGAATTTAGGGAAAAGTTTGAAGAACTTTTTCAAAAATTATTAAAAATAAAAAAATAATTGATTTAAAGAAGTAGTATAGTTAAAAATACTAGAAAATAATAATTGAATTGAAATGATGAAAATTTTGCAAATTGTTAGTTTTTCTTTAAAGGAACAAAATTTAAAATAAAGTTTTAGAATAAACTGACCGTTGTTGCACATAGAAATGCCACGATCCATGACATAGCTGATGAGTGCCATTATCACGCCGAGCAATGCAAGAAAGACCCAATCTTCGCCGAGTCTTGCTCCAGTGTGCTTCCAGGCGAAGGCCAATAGTGACACCAATTTTCTGCATAGTGGACCTCTTGTTGATTTTCTAAGATCCTCAGCTCGAGCCTGCTCCAATTTTCTCCTCGACTTTTTATGTGATTTGAGCCTACGTGCCTCTTCTTTTGCATATTCACCCAGGTCCTTCGTATAGCGGCCATACATCTACACGACAAAAAAATTATTCAAAAACTATTCTCCTTTTCAAATCTCTTATTATTGCTCGATCCAATGCAGAAATTAAAATTTTAAGCATTTTTCTGGTATAAGACGAAAATTGAAGCATTAGCATGAATTAAGGCACTTTTACAAGTTTTTTTTTACACTTTTACAATTTTTTTAAAACTAACTTCATGGATTTTTTAAAACTAATTGTAAAGAATATTTTATAAGAAAAATGTTTAGTTCATGAGTTGTATACATACTAATTTTACGTTTCTTCAAATCCTCGATATTTTTTTTTTTTTTTTTTTTTTTTTTTTTTTTAAATTATTATTATTTTATTATAGTAAAAGGCAGCAATAAAAATAAATGTTATGACAATATTGCGGCAATATAACATGTCAACATTGCCAACATTGTCCTGCAATTTTTAGGCAAAATTCGATGATTGGCGAACGAAAATAAAGAAAAAAAATTTTAATAAGAAAAATAAAAAAATTGTCTTATTTAAAATTTAAAATAATTTGACAAACTTTTGTTTCGATTGTTTGTCGGTTTTTTCATTGAATTTAAAATTGTTGAAAAAAATTCAAAAGCGATCGATAATTTTTTTTATTAAACAAAAGCGAGGTGGTAAGTATTTTTTTTTTCAAAATTAGAACGTGTTAATTTTTTTTTCGTTTTAATTGCTCTAATTTGATTTTCTAAGGCGACCCAGGCTCAAATCAGGGCCACCGTGATGAACAGGCCTAGATTCGAAAATGATCCTTACACTTACAACGTAGTCATCGTTGCAAACAAAGTAGGACCTGTTTAAAACGCAGGCCGGCATATGTTTTCAAATCATCAATCAAGTGCAGTTTAACTTCCAAAATAAAAATTCCCCCTCTCATCAGTGATAATTGTCGAGAAACGTAATTTCACTTTTCTTGAAAAAAAAAAAAAAAAAATTTTCGCAAACAAATTTCGATTAAAATAATTAAATTAATAATAATAATTAAAATTTATTCTTAAACAAATAAATTGAAACGACAAAAAATTAAAATAAATAAGTATATTAATACAGTGGAAAAAAATTATTTGATTCAAATAAATAATTACTTGTGTATTATAGAAAAAAAAATTTTAATGTCAAAAAAAAATGATAACTTTCTGTTCATACAGAAATTTTCAATTAAATATTTAGGATTTTATTTAACTAAATATTTATTTGAATGAAGTAAATATTTATTTGAATGAAATAAATATTTATTTGAATGAAGTAAATATTTATTTGACTGAAGTAAATGTCTGTTTGATTCAAGTAAATATTTATTTAACAATAGACAAATAATCTGTTAATTAACTCGAATAATTTTTTTCCAGTGCATATAAAACAATAAAATTTAAATTAAGAAAATTTGCGAAAATTCTTTATTTAAAAAAAAATAAATAAAAAACCATTGTCATTGATGGAATATTTCAACTGGTAAAATATAAAATTCTCGTGCGACACTTTATTTTCAGTCCATGGGAAAAATTTATTTTTTTCTATCATTGTCCTTCGTGACGAATGATGTTAAGGATGAGTTGTTTTTTTTGTCTTTTTTTTTAAATTCTCATCATCCGAACACGAAAATCGAGAAACTAAACTGCGACATCTCTTATCCTCGCTGATTTAATTTGAATTTATTGCAATTTTTGGCAAGGAGCAAAGAAAATTCCTATTTTTAAACTCTCCACACAAGACGGCGACATAACTTGCATCCTATTGTTTAAATAAATAAACTCTATTTGACGATACATATTGCCACGTGTTCACAAGCAAAAAAAAAAATAAATAAAATAAAAAAAGTGCACAAAGGTGCCAATGATCTGGCAACCCGGAAAAACATACACACTTTTGAACAAAAGTGATGTAATACTAAACAAATTATTTTACAAGAAAAGAATAATTTTTTTTACTTCATGAAAATTTTGAAGAAAAAATTATAAAAATAAAAATTATTTCTCAAATTTAGAGACTAAAAATTAAATATTAAATGAATTCGACAAATATTTAAAAAGTTGATATCCTACGTCTAAGAGAGAGTAAAAATATAATTATAAATTATAATCGATGTAACGAAACAAATTTCCTTTTTTGGAAAACAAAAAAACATTTATAAACAAACAAATAGTAAATTAGAGTTAATTTACTCTTATGTCAGTTAAAATACTTCCTTGTTTTTTTCCGCCCGTTTAAAAGTAAATTTGCGAATAATGAAAAAAGTATAAATTTCAATGTCTTACAACTTCTATTAAGAACATTTTTTTTTTTGTTAAAGCTTAAAGTTTATAAATTTAATTCAATAGAGAATTTAATGTTATATTAATTAATTCAAAGTGTAAGTAAAATAGTAAAAAAAAGTAAAAATAGTAAAAAACGAAAAAATAAAAGTAAAAAATAGTAAAAAAAAAGAAAAAATATTTTCCAAGTTTGTGAAAATTTGTATAATCTAAATACATCAATTGAAATCAGAGTGCAATAAAAATGATTAAAGTTAAAAGTTTTTTAACCCTATTAGTGTAAATTGCATTCAGAAATAATGACAATTGACGCTAAAATAGTTGGCAATGACTCGTGTAGGTAGACAGTGAACAATTAGCGATTTTCATCAAGGTCGAGTTTTAATTATTTCAAAAATACTCATCACAGTGATTTGTTAACAAAATAACAATAAACTTTTTCGAGCAATTAACAATTAAGTTTTGAATTAATTTTATCATCGCAGTAAGATCGTCAATTTTTTTTTAATTCCAATTTTGCCTACAATTTATTTTTATCCTATTCAATTTTTTTTTATTCCAGTTTAAAAAAAATATTTTTTTTTCTAATTCGAAATTTTATTTACTTTTATTTATTTTTTAATTTTTTAAAAACAACAATTAATTTTTATTCAACTTTAAATTGTATTTGCTTCAAATACTGAAATTGGTTCAAAAACCACTTAATTGATTTAACTAAAAATTATTTGATTCAAGTAAATATTTATTTGATAGATAAGTAATCAATTATTTCAATCAAATAATTTTTTTTTTTTAGTGTAAAAATAATAATTATTATTTTTTAATTGACTCAAATAAAAATTATTTGATTGAACAAAATTTTTCCACTTTTTTAAAAATTAGGTACTTTACTTATAATAATTTGGTATAAATTTTTTTTTTAAATTGGTAATAATTTACTTTTACTATTTAATGAAAAATGTTAATTATTAAATATAAAATGTGATAAATAATAATAAAAAAAAAAATTTTTTTTTAAAAATATAAATAATAATAATAATAAATAATAAATAATAAATAATAAATAATAAATAATAATAATAATAATTTTTTTTTAAAATTTTTTTTTTAAATAATAATTAAATATTTAATTGATAATAGTCAAGTAATTGATTATTTTAATCAAATACATTTTTTTCAGTGTAATAATAATAATTATTATTTTTATTGACTCAAATAAAAGTTATTTTATTCAACTATAAATATTTAATTGTTAATAGTCAAGTAATCGATTATTTGAATCAAATAAATTTTTTTTCAGTGTGAGAGAAAAATTGCAAACCACCTGTTGGTCGAGTATAAAAAAAAATCTTGGCGGGAAATTGAAATTACAAAATGTTAGGAAAATCGGAAAAATGAATAGTTTTTTTTAATAGTCGATATAATGATGAAACGTTTATAGTATGGAATTTAATAGTGTATGAATTTGCAAATGATCGGTTTACTAAAAAAATGTTTGTTTATTGATCAAGTCAGTCACGAGGTTTAACTGCAAATCAATTCCTTTCGAAACGCAGTCATATGACATGGATGCCACCTGTCTCTGCGTATTTAATATTCGACGAGGTCGCCTCACACTATCTGATTCAAGGCTAATTTAAATAAATACGTGAAATTCACTATCCAATTTTTTTTTAATTACTAGTCTTTTCATCAATCGGTAACTATTTTTTTCTAAAGCAACGACAATTTGGAATAAAATCAATTTTTGCAAAAAAAAATGCACCAATCTTTATTTTTTCAATGATGTTTTATTTTCGAATCATTTTTTTTTTTATTTCTTTATATTTTTCTTAATTTCCTATCATTTATTAATTTATTTTTTATTTTTATTTATTTTATTTGTTAATATTTTTTCGTAAGGGAAAAAAATACTAAAATGATTATTTTTCATTTATTTTTTGTTAGTTCATATAAAAAAAAATATAAATGAAAAATAATTTGCAAAAAAGCAAAAGACAAAAAAATTACTAAAATGAAAGTTTAGGGGGAAATTAGAAGATGGACAGTTTTTTCCCCATCGGGGTAAATTTGAACTCGATTAATTCATTTTGAGACTAATTCGAATATTTTTACTTCTTTTTTTCAAAAATTGAAAAAAAATTTTTTACTCTGAATTATTATAAGGAATTGTTATAAAATAAGGAGAAATTCGATAAAAATATTAAGAAGATGCGTGACTGAATTTCTAAACAAGCACTACCTTTTAATTTATCACAAAGAATTGCTTTGTCGAAATCTGGTATAATCTCGTAAAATTCGAGAATAAACCGGATTTTTTATTTTGTAAATAATTTTTATTTTTTTGGGAAATTTGTTATGCTGTTTAATTATATACACAAAATTCGATAAGAAATTATTTTAAATTAACTCTTTAAAATTGAAAGCATTCTTTTTAAATTTGAATACTTTATGTTAAGTAATAGAAAACTAAAAAAAAAAGAATAGAAAACAAAAAAATACTGAGAGAATTTATTTAGTTATTCCTCACTCGATTTTGGCAAAGATTCAGGAACTTTAAATGCCTATTTAGTTTGTTGTACGTCTGTAAATGTCACGTGAACAAATAACGAGGCAGTGAACTCTTAAATCGAATTAAACCGGTATTCTAAATTTTCGAAAAATGGTTTTTAGTTCCTATTTTAAGGAACTTTGGTTCTTACTTTAATTCATTTTTTTCTCAGGCATTAATTCTT